GTGTTTTACTTTAAACTTCCGCACACGTCAAAACACCGGACTGTTCTTTGATTTGTATTGTTGGCTATTGACTATTGTACTTTTGCAATAAGAAGCCATTTTCTAATGTACAAAGGGAAAAAATGCATACAAAAAAGTAGTTTTTTTTTTTTTTTCTAATTTGAAATGTCCTAGGTTAAACAAATTAAATCATTGCGCATGGATAAACCTCTTGCTATTGCCGTTGTTTTTTTATTTAATAGTTTTTATTCTCTAATCTAGTATAATATAGGTTATAAAATAAAAAAATACTTAAAAGTAAACAAATAACAAGAGTTTTATGTTTTGAAAATTTTATTTTACAATTTGGATTGTATCAAATTTTAAAATTAAAATCATTAGATAAAAAAGTATTCCAAATCAAGGAGTTTGCTTTTTATATCATGGTTTTAATTGTGTTATCTAAATTATATAATGATGTTTTTTTACTCAAATTAAATAATAAAAATATAATTTAAATATTAAAATAATTAAAACACCATTAATAAATTAACATCGAAAGAATTTTATTAATGGTAATTTTTAAGAAAATTTCGGACACGAAATATATTTTATTTTTTTGAATAATACGATTTACATGTCGCAAATGGGCTGTGCATGCTGGATAACTCCGGGCTTTGATATTTATTTTATTTTCGGCTGGCTCAAAATTTCCTGCTGCAGGGTAAAAGAAATAGCAAGGGAGTAATGAGGAAGATGACAAAATATGGGAGTCAAAGATTGTGTTATGTTATTAAGTTATAAAATTACACTCTGGATGATTTGGTAAGGAATTTTTCAAAATTAATTAAAAATTTTGGTTTTAAATTTTAAAAATGTAGTTTCATTTAAATTTATGAAGAAAAAATTTATTATTTATTAAATTTTGTTTGGCTTGAATTTAGATTAATCGATGATTAAATGGGTTTTTAAATATCTGGTGATCCAAATAAAAAAAAATTAAGTTACTAAATTGATTGATGTATATAATATTTTAAAATTTTAAAAGGTAAAAAAATTAATTTTTAAATAATATAAAATTTATTTTTTAATATTATAAATAATTAATTTATATCACATCATTGATATAAATTTTTTATTTAAAATTTCCTATTATTTATCATTATTTATAGCAAAAACAAAACGAACACGTTTCAGAATTTTAAGTTGGGAACGTTCTTTCTTTCCCTATTTTCAATTTCAGTCATAGAGCTCTGGGCCTGGAGACCTCCGCTCCGATTGAATTCTCAATTATTTGTGTACGTTTTATTTTGGATTTCTGAGTCTAATCCCATGCTAATTCATGCTTCTGGGAAATCTTAGCATGCCTCTAGATGCTGCTACCTATAACACATGCATAATTTTGAAGGAAGTTAAGGCATTGCAATATTTCTGCTCCATTAGAGGATGTGCTGACACTAATAGTT